GAGAGGGCAGTCCTTGAAAAAAGACTTAGTTTGAAGGGTGAAAGAAAAAGAGGAAGAGCTTCGATAGAATGTATTGACAAAGTGACTCAATCATGTCAGAGATGAAGAGAATGTCTCAGAATAGGGGATGGTTCAGATCTGTTTTTCATAGCAGTGAGTCGTAGTAGACTCGACAGCACATAGGAACAATTACTTTACCAAGCATGAAGTCTTTCTTTAGGGTCTCCTTCCTCCTGATAACATGTCCCACGTATATTCCAAGTCTCACCCTCAGTGTTTCTAGGGACCATCCTGCATCCTGACTGTACTGCTTCCAAAACAGATTTGTTTCTTCTAACAATCCATGTTATATTCAAGTCAGTGACAGCCCCACAATTCAAAGGCTTTGATTCTTCTTCCTCATTTATTGTCCAGCCTTCACATGCATGTATTGCTGTGAGGTGCTGTCAAGTCGGAACTGACTCATAGCTGACCCTCCTGCGGATTATTCTGAGGCTGTAAATTTCACAGGAGGAGACTGATCACTTTCTTCCGTGAAACAGCTGGTGGCTTGGAATTGCTGGTGTCTTTGGGTTGGCAGCATCAACTAAAGCCACCAGGGCGTCATATGTTGTTGTTGTTGAGTTGTCAAATCGAATATGACTCCTAGTGACATTATAAACAACAGATCTGAACACTGCCTCTGACGTACTCAAGTCCATTGCTGTAGTCTCTGTGTCAATCCATTTGGTTGAGAGTCATCCTCTCTTTTGCTGGCCCTCCACCTTTCCAAAAATGATGTCTCTCAAGTCCGCAAGGTCTAACCTCTCCTAGCAACAAGTCCACAGTATGTGAGGCAGAACTTCGTCATCTTAGCCTCCAAGGAGCATTCTGACTTCACTTACTCTAAGATTTATCTGTTTGTTCTTTTGGCAGTCCATGGGATATTCAGGTGTCTTCTCCAGCTCCTCATCTCAAAAGCATCAATTCTTTTTCTGTCATCCTTATTCATTGTTCAGCTCTCAAATGCATAGAAAATGATTGAAAAGACCATGGCCTCCAGTAATTTGGGGAGGTCTCCGACTGCAGAGTTTCCCAATGCAATGTTGTTAGTGTTGTCAAGTTGTCTGCAACTCATAGTGACCCTGTGTACAACAGCTCTGAAGACTTCCCTGTCCTGAGCCAGTTTCATTGACTCTGACACACCTACACCTATTACCCCAGGTCACTGTACCAGTTCATCTCATCCAGGGTCTTCCTTTCCTGTGTTATCCCTCCTGATTCAATTCCTGACTGCTGATATCAAGTGTGTTGGTTATAGATCTAAGTAAGATTAATTTGTTGACAGTTTCAGTGTTTTCTCCATCTATCATGATGCTGCCTATAGGTCCAGTGGTGAGAATTTTTGTTTTCTTGATATTGCAATGAAATCCTTATTGAAGACTGTAGTCTTTCATCTTCATATGAGGTAATGGAAAATGCCTTGTCTTAGTTTTGGTACACATTAGTCTTCAAATTGACATCTTTGCTTATTAACATTTTAATGATGTCCTTTGTAGCAGATTTGCTCAATGTGTAATACATTGTGTGGTTTTTTTAATGCCTTCCTGTTTACTTTTTTAGCAAAGGAAACAAACTCTTTTTCTAAAAAATATTTTTATTGGTTTTCATATAATTCTGTTATGTTTCATTCTTCTGCATTGTGTTTTATACAATCTTTCATTTATATTGTTTCATAAAATCATATACATTCTGTTTTACATTATTTTTAATTGGTTTGCTTACTTAGTTTATATACATTGTGTTTCACACTATTCTTCATTCACATTGTGTTTCATATAATCATTCTCATGCATTATGTTGTATAAAATCAATCACCATTGGACCCTGTCCATCATTACCCTATCTTTTCTCCTGGATCCTTCTTATTTACCCCACGCCCCCAACTGTACAGCCCTGTGATTTCACGCCTACCTATCCTCAATCCTTTGCTCCTCCCCTCGAATTCCTGTACATGTTTTACTAGTTATGCTTCTATTTTTACAGTAATTGTCATATGCAGTATCTGTCCTTTGAAGACCGAGTTAGTTCACTTAGCATAATGCTCTCTAGCCTCTCCCAAGTTATGTGGCATTTTCCAAAATCTTTGCTCTTGAGTGCTGCAAAATATTGTGTGAATGTGCCACAATTCCTCAATCCATTCAGTTGTGCTTGGACATTTGGGCTGTTTCCATATTCTTGTGATGGGAAATACCAGTGCTATGAACACTGGTGTACAAATCTCTGTTTGTGTCTCAGTTCTGGGATATATTCCTAGTCGTGGAATAGCTGGGTCATATGGAGTTTTTATGTTCAACTTTTGGAGGAAGTGTCAAACTCTCTCCCAGAGTGGTTGCACCATGTTCGTTGTGTGGTTTCTTGACTGCTGCTGCCTTGAGCATAGATTGTGGGTCCAAGTCAGACACACTCTTTGATGATTTCTGCCATTTTCTTAATATTGGGTGTGACAATTGAGAAAGCTAGGTGTCTCAAAGATTTTTTTAAAAGTGCCTCTATTAGTTTCTTGGGCATGCTTTAACAAAACAACACAAAGTGGCTTGTAAGAACAGACATTTATGGTTTCACAGGTCTGGAGGCTACCAGAGTTAGACTGTCTGGGGACTTTCTGGTCTGTCAGCTTCTGGTAGCCCCAGGGGGTCCTTCTTCCCTGCAGATACAGTGTCACATGACTGCCCTGCCTCTACCTGTTTGTGTGTGGCCCTCTCTTTCTGAAGGACACTACTCAGATTGGGTTATGCCTCACTTTCCTCCAGCCTGACTCCCAATTGATGGATAACATCTTCAAAGACTCCTTTCCACACAAGATCACCTTTACAGATATCAGGGGTTAGATTGCAATGTTTCTTTTCCGGGGACACAATTCAATCTCTAGAGTCGCTAAGGGCAGTTAATGAAGCTGGGTGTCACAACCTTGAACTTCACTCTCTGTGAAGACACGGATGAGAGTTTGCTTGTTGTTGTAAGGAGTCCACTGTGATTCATAAAGACCCCATGGGCTGCAGATGTGAATCCTGCCCTCTGCCCTTCCTCCTGATCTCAGACAAGCTTGAGCCCATTGTTACCGTGTTAGTCCAGCTCTTCACTCACCTTCTGCTTTCCGCGGCATGATGTCTTTCCCCGGTGAGTGGCCCCTGCTGATCACATACCCTGAGTTTGTGAGACGAAGTTTCATCATCTTTTCCAGTTAGTTGTCCAGAGCTTCTCCACCACCATCAGGACTCTGTGGGGTTGTTGTTCTTGTGTACCCTTGAGTTGAGACTGACTCACAGCTGACCCTGCAGTGGGCTTTCAGAGGCGGTAAATCACACAGAAGGAGTGTGTCCATCTTTCTCCCCTGAGCTGTGAGTGTATTTGAACTATGTTGTTCTAGGTTGGCAATGGAATTCCTTACTGCTGGGCCACTAGAGTGCCCTCTGGGATTCTTAATCCTGTCATTTTCAAAATGTTCTTAGCATTTTGAGTCCGTCTGAGCAGCTCCAGCCTGGCCTTGGTAGCACTTTACAGGACCTCTTACTTTGGAGCAGGTAGTTCAAATCCATCACCAGATGCTCTGAGGAGAAAGGTAGACCATCTCCGATCCATGTGATTTACAGCCACTGGAGAGTCGGCACGTAACAACTTACAGGTGTCATCGACAACTGTCCGGGATCCTTTATAGGTGGCATTTTTCTTTCCCAAGGCATTCTAAAGGGAGCTCTGGTGGCCTAGTGGTGAGAAACTGCTGCAATCTCAAAGGCACACAGTTCAAATCTACCAACTTCTCTGGGGGAGTAGGAAGGGCGATCTCCTCCCGTATGACTAATTGTGTCTGAAAAGTCAGCTGTGGCTTAGTTCCAACTGAATGACATCCAACAACAACAGCAACAACACCACCACCAAGATCTTCTAGACACTCGAACAGCATGGGCTTCAGTCGGTACCATTGGCACAGTGTTCCGCTCTCAGGCCTGGCTTCTTGGCTTATTAGAATTGGATCTTTGGGCTGCCACTTCTTGCAGCTACTGTACTTTCAGGAGAATAACTAAACCTGTCTCAGAGTGCTGGCCTGAGATTTATAAGACCTACCTGTTAACACTCTTGGTACCAGCAGCCAGGAAATTAAAAGACGTATTGTGATGGGAAAGTCTGCTGTTAGGGACCTCTTCAAAGTACTGAAGAGCAGTGGTGTCTCTCTGGAGACTAAGGTGCATCTGATACAGGCCGTGGTCTTTGCAATCACTTGTTATGCATCAGAGAGTTGGACAGTGACTAGGGAGGATAGAAGGAGAATTGATGCCTTTGATCTGTGGTGCTGGAGAAGAGTATTGAATGTACCCTGGACTGCTAAGAAAACAAACAGATTGATCCAGGAGAGGGTAAAACTAGGCAGCTCCTTCGAGGCAAGGATTCTGGGGCTTCGTCTGACATACTTTGGTCATGTTGTAAGGAGAGACTGGTCCTTGGAGAGGGACATCATGCTTGGTAGGGTGGAGGGACAGTGCAGGAGGGGAAGGCCCTCTATGAGGTGGACTGATTCAGTGACTGGGATAATTGGGATGGGAGTGTCACAGACAGTGCGATTGGCACAGGACAGAGCAGAGTTTAGGGCTGTTGTACATAGGGTCGCTATGAGTTGCAAGCAACTCAAAGGCACATAACAACAACAACAACAACCTGTTAACTGCTTGTTCACACTGAATAAAGAACAGTAATTATTACTGGGGAGCCCCCCATGTGGTAAAACCCAAAAGCCCTGGGCTATTGAAATAGAGGCTGGAGTGTGGAGTGTGACTGAGATGCCTCAGAAGAACGGCAATGACTGAAAACCCCAAGGAGCGCTGTTGGGACAGAGCAGGCCTCCAGGGTCCAGATTGCTTTATTGTTACCATAAAGTCCTGGGAAGGGGAGAGAAGAGCACATGAGCCCGAGGCTGTGTGCGGAGGGACTGATGGCCTCTGCTCTCTTCCTGTTCCCTCCCTCAGGATGGATCGCTGGGCAACATCGACGACTTGGCACAGCAGTATGCAGACTATTACAACACCTGCTTCTCGGATGTGTGCGAGAGGATGGAGGAGCTACGCAAGAGGCGGGTGTCGCAGGACCTGGACGTGGTGAGTGGTCGAGGCTGTGGGGCTTCCCCCTCCAGCACCCCTCCCGGTCCTTCCACGGGTCCCTGCTGGTTAAGGGGTGCAGGCTACTGAGCTAGGATGGGGTTCAGAATTCACTTTTCTAAGGCATCAACCCTATTGTACAGGCATCACCCTGAGTGGATCTTAGCTGGGGCAGTTTGATCAAATCTTTCCGTTTCATGAAAGCTTAAATGAATTGTTTCCTTTCATTTTGTTTTTATGTCAAGGGGAAAAGGGCGTGTTGGTAACACTGGCCACAGCCTCTAAGTCTGAACTGCACCAGTGCTTCAGCAGGTCTGGTCTCCCTTCAGTGTTTTCTTGGCATTATTTCAGCTGTACCAGCCTGGCTAGATGAATGACTGGTGGGTGGGTGGAGGGAAGGGAAGAAGGGAGAGAAGGGAGATTTTACATATATAGACATTATGACGTTGTTGTGGTCGCTGGGGTTGAAACTGGCTTAGAGCTAATCTTCCAGCAGCTTTATAGAGGCAGCGAATCTCATGGGAGGAGATCGCTCAGCGGCTGGTGGATTCATATCTCCTGCCTTTGGGTTGATGGAGGATCTCGCCACCCACTAGGCCACCAGAGCTCCTTTGAAAACTATTATTAGCCGGTTCGTTTCCCATTGTGTTCACTGGTTTCCTGGCCTCGATGGGCAGGTGTCGGTGTAATGGCAGGTGGAGGTAGAGAAGTCTCAGTTGGAACAGGGGCCGAGTGTATTGTCCTAGGAGCCTGATCCCGCAGTGTAAGCAGGTGCATGGGAGTTTTTGTCATCAAGAGTTCTTTCCTGTAATTGTCCCCACCATGTGTGGAAGGTGGAGTTCTCACCTTCTGTAAGATATCATGACAAAAGACTTCCATGCTCAGTTCAGATTAATTAGACCTTCCTGGTGGGACATAGTTAATGAAAAAAATACCTGTGTGTTTGGTTTGGGTTCCCCCCCACCCCACCCCACCCCCCACCCCCAGATTGCAGTACAACAGCCACTTAAATGTTTCACTGTGTTATTGAATGTTGCAATTGGGGTGGGGGAAAGTATGCTGATATAAATAATATATGTAACAAAATGTACCATTGTAACCATTTTTGTGTGTCTATTTAAGTGATACTAATTATGTTCACAATGTTATGCACTCATCAGAACTGTCTCTTTCTAAAAACTTTTAAAAAAATTTTTACTTTATTATTTTTTGTGCATCAAATCAGATCTGACTGGTACAGAAGGGATTGTCCCTCCTTCTCCAGCAGAGCATCTGGTGGATTCAGATTGCACGCCTCTGGGATTGCAGTGCAGCTTCTTGCACTAGGCCACCAGAGCTCCCTCTAAAAACTTTTTTAATGATCTCAAATAGGAACTTAGATTCCTTAAGCAGTAATGTCCTGTTGCGTCTCCTCAAGTCCCTGATAAGCTCTAGCCTACCTGGTTTTCTGTGCATTCGTCTGAAACAGAAATTTCAGACAAAGGGGATCAGATACTCTTTGTCCTTTCATGTCTGAATTATTTCACTTGACTATGTATGTCAACGTCTGCTTTCTAGCTCTGATGAAAATTTGCCTCCCTGGTGCTATTGGTTCTTCATCCTAACATGTCTAAGTCTGGGTCGGGGCCTCTAGTTCTCTTTATGACCAGTCTTCCATTGCAGTAATATTTTTTGTGTTAAGCCATTTTATATTTTTGCATTTTAGCAGCGACCCTTACTTGTCATCACTGTTGTTAGGTTCCATCAAGTCTAACACAATTCATGGCAACTCTGTAAACAGCAGACCTGAACCCTGTCCTCTCTTGTACCTTCCTCGTCGTCTCCAGCTCACTTGAGCCTATTGCTGCTGTGTCAGTCCATCTGGGAGGGGGTCTTCCTCTCTTTCACAGATCCTCCACTTTTCCAAGCAAGATGGTTCTTTCCAAGGAATAGCCTCTTTTAGCAATATGTCCAAAGGATGAGAGATGAAGCTTCACCATCAATTGCTTCCAAGCAGCATTCTGGCTGCAGCTTCTCCAAGACGTAACAGTCTGTTCTTCTGACAGTCCGTGGGATGTATTGGGTGTTCTCTAACACCGCAGCTCAAAGGCATCCATGTTTCTTCTGTCACCCGTTTTCCTTGTCCAGCTCTCAGATGCATAGCAAGTGATTGAAATGACTGTAACCTGAATCAGCACACTTTAGTCTTCAAACTGAAATCATTGATCTTCATAAGGTCCCTGATAGCAGACTTGCCCAAAGCTATGTGTCTCCTGATCTCCTGGCTTATGGTGGTACCAAGGGTGTTGACTGTTCTGGAGGTTTTTTTAAATTGTTATTGTTGTTATTTTAGATGTTTTATTGTCATTTGAGTTAAATTTTACAGTGCGGATTGGTACAGCAGTCAACCATTCGTGCCTGTTGCTTTATGACCCTGTTTACAATTCCCACATTGTATCATCCCTTCCCACCGTCTCTCTGTGGCATTTGCTTCCAATCATCTCTTCATCCTTTCCCTTCCTAACTTCTGTGTTTTATCCCAGGACAGATGTTGCCCTATGAACCTGTATGGTTGAGAGTTCTAAGTAACTGTTACCTTGGTGTTAGAGTTGGCCTTGATCTGTCTGTTGTTTGCAGTTTGTGCCCCAGGATTGGATTTAGTTCCAGGTTTCAATGGGTAGCTAAGTAATCTTTGGGGTTTTCTGAAGGAGATCGATCAGTAAGACTGGCCCTTATTGTGATTTTAGGCTTGTTCTATATTTATCTCTCCCTTTACCCCGTGCCCTCTGCTTGGAGTTTTCTCATAGCTCTGAGCAGTGATAGCCAGGGTCTATCCAGTTCTTCTGGTCTCTGAGTCATGGAAGCTGAAGTCCACAAATTTTTAGTGCTATGGACTAATTATTTCCATTCGTCTTTGCTCTTGATGGTGGGAGAGACCAGTGGTGGCTCCTTAGATGAAATTCACAAGCTTTGAAGACCCCAGTCTCTCCTCTCCAATACAGAGTTTGGAGCATTGTGACTGTGGGCTGTGTTAACACTGATGGACTTTAATATCTCTGCAGACTATGGGCCTGAGGCCCCACCACCACTGACCTGACTTATCCCTTTAGGGTGTTTGGATACAATTAAGTTTGCATAATTTTTCCCCTTCTTGACTCTACCATATACCTGGATATATTTGCAGCACTGTAGTAATCTACACCATGAATGATAGTGTGCATCTCATGACTTGCTTGGACACCTCATCTGTACAAGGAAGCTCAATGCATTGAGCTGGTTAAATGACCCATGACCTGCTCACACAAGGTTCTACCTGGCTGAGGGCTTGGGTTAGAAATATTCACCCCAGGCATTTAGACACCTGGGAAGACAGCTTTGAATCACCTCCTTCCCAGTTGGACAGACGGGCCAGTTTACTGTGCTGTGTTCCAGAGCCACAGAAGACATTCTGGGCAGAAGGACGCCACATGGGCTTAATTAGTTCCCATCGAAGATGTGAAAATTTGCTAGTGAGTAACACTGACAGACACTAATTTGAGCCAGGCTATGTTGTTCATTCTTTTAACCCCTGTGAGAGTATCAGCCTCTGATGCTGCCCTCTCCAGGTCTCTTCCTCTGAAATCCCTGCAGGAAATCGGGAGCTTCCAGTTGTGAGGAACTGGGTTCCTTACGGTGTCACACATTGCGTTCCTGGTTCCTGAGTCTAGAAGTCCACGTGTGACTTGTGTGGTGTGACTCATCACTCAGTATAATATGTATGTAGCATGAGTGACTTCTGGAAAGTTCTCTTAGTGGTTAGCTGATAGTCAATTCTAGTCCTGGTTGGAACGTATCTTCTTGAGAAGCTAGTTTTTTACCTAGAATGTTCCTTTTTATCATTCAGAGTTCTTAATGTAGGCGATTGTTACTATCAGGTGGCATCAAGTTGACTGCAGCTGATGGCGACCCTGTGAACAACAGATCTGGACCCTGCCCTGTCCTGCACCGTCCTCAACACCTCTGACACACTGGAGCCCATTGTTCCAGTCACTGTGCCAATTCGTCTCTTTCTCTGAGGGTCGAGAGGCTTCCTCTCTTTCTCTGACCCTCTGCCTTTCCCAGCCTGATGTCTTTTCCCAAAGACAGGCCCCTCCTGACAACATGCCCAAAGTTTATGAAGTTTCACCATTCTTGCCTCAAAAAATCACCTTAGCTGCATTTCCTCCAAGACAAACTTCTTTGTTCTTCAGAACATCTGTGGGGATTCAGTGTTCTTCACCAAGACCACAATTTGAAGGCATTGTAATGCCATTCCCACGTATCCCTAATACATTTCTAGACTTTCAGTTCTACCTCTAGACAAGTAGATAGGCAGCTCCATGTGGCTCTTGGAACAGCTTCCAGTGTGAAGATCTGTAGTGTCAACTCTTTTCTTTCTGGGTCAGCAGCCATCAAGCCCAGACAAAGCTGGAAGTTAGAGAAAGCAACTATTAGGACTTACATTGTGTGCCCTCAAGATAGGAGGTGTAAATCCAATCCCTACACCTCTGCTCATACTCCTACCTGAGATTGGGTTTGCTTTGCTATATCGATATACCCTAGCTGAGGTGTGTTTCCAGCCGATTACCTTTGAGGTATAAATACAGATTAGACACAGAGAGCCAAGCAGGGACAGAGGAGTTAGATGCCATGCCGCATGGAGATGGCCAAGGGACCGAGAAGCAGACTCTGGAAAGAGACAAGGTGTCGAATTGGACTTCTAGCTTCCAAAACGTGTAAAAAAAAATAACTTTCTGTTCATTAAAGTCCCCCTCTTGTGGTGTTTCTGCGCCGAAGCAGGACAAGCTTACAAAGACAAAGCAATGGGAGAAATAGTACTAATGTTTTGGGAGCCTAACAAATTTGATAAGAGAAACACAATAGCATAAAGTAGAAGAAACCATTTCGATGACAGTCTTGAGTATGGGAGATTTAGGTGAGTGGCCAAATGATTCATTTCAAATTCTCTGGGTTAAAAATAAATATTGATAATTACAAGTTGA